TCTTCACTATCTGGGTGAGGAGGGTGCAGAAGAGCAGCGAGCCGAGTGGTCCCCTCCCCAAAGACGTTAGCACCGGTGTATGACAAGACGATCGTAATATGCAGCGCTGGGCGTGAAAGCGGTACTACTGAGACGAGTTGTCCTACCCCTCCGCAAGAATTCGATTGTCAAAAGTGTGGGAACGTTCTAGATCATGCGCTATAGGGTCTTTTTTGCCTGAATTCCTATGAGTTTCGCTGCTCGAATTTGCTGCATAGCGAGAATTTGTCGATTGGCATGGCCGCACGATACGCCGCGCGCGGCGACGCGACAAATTACGATTGTCTTGCCCGTCTCCCCATCATTCATACATTACCTGATGACTTGAGCTTCAGCCCTATAAGGCTGCATTCTAATCAATGAAATTCTGTTATCTCCGGTTTTAGACGAGAATGGTGCATGGGATTCGCAAAGAATACGTAATCATACCTACCAGAACCACCCAATCAATAACGAGCCCAAATAATAAATAAAGGTAAACAATAAATCATTACTCAAACTTAACACAAGTTGTCTGGAATCAATTATTAGGTAAGGAAACATACAGATCAGAGGGGAGATTCAAAAGCAGTCCACATAGGCGTAGGCAAAAAGCGCGACATAGGGAAGCAAATGCACATAAAGCGGTTCACGTAATCAGCACTGATAACGAAAACATAAAACTTTTGGAAACGCAATCTACTCCGGCTTCGTATCAGGCAAGGTGCGAAATGTGAATGCGGGCGCAAACGATGTAAGATGGAAACGAGAACTTGATGAATTCAGAATTGGCAAAACGATAGTGTTCTATGAAAAGCACTGAAATAAGCATAACATAAAGAATTCCAGCAAGTGAAAGGAGAACTAGCAGCTCCTATTGTGCTCTCTGCGAAATCCAATATCGCTCAAAGAAAAAGTGCATTGCTGCATGCAACCCAATAGGATCGATAACATTACCAATTACACAGGAAAAATATGGGAAACAAATCTCTTACAATGAACTAGTAAGTAAATTCAAAAGCAAGAAGCAAAAAGTAGTACTACACCTCTGCTAAAATCAAAAAGGTCTTTTTGAAAAAAATAAAATCGAAAGACGGCGAGACGGAATACTAGTCTGCAATTACGGCGGTTTGCGTAACGTGACGGCAAGTAAATGCAAAGTTTTGTAGGAATCCTGCTCCTCTTTAGGGACTTATCGTGCCAACTGCCTTAGCAGACCGTTTATGTATAGTCTGCAACATCGTGAAATAGCAGAAATCACTTAATTTGCTAGTTTTGTATCGACCAGGAGGCGCTATCCCAGGAAAGCTGGACACATCGGTGAAACAGCGATTGTGAGCAAGAGGTGGTGATGTTGTAAGCTGGGAAAGTTTAGGAAGATGGAAAGTAGGATGGGAGGAAGGGATCGAACCGAAGAAAGAGATCTCAGGAGGCTTGCCTGAGACAGCTATTTCTCCAATCACGATGTCCTTTGCGCAATGTCAGCACGGCGAGCACAGTTGAAGGAAAGGAGCGCGATAAATTGACAAGGAGTGCAGAGTCGATATGCCAAGCACGAAGCAATATTGTACTCTTTGACAGGCA